TCTCTCTCTTCTCTCTTCTCCTCTCTCTCTCTCTCTCTCTCTCTCTCTCTTTCTCTCGCCTGTTTTTTTTATATAATTGTAATGTTACATTGCCATTATCATCCCTATTGTCCTTTTTAGATCACTATTACCATCATTGTTATAATTATTATTATCATCATTATTATCATTATTATCATTATTGTTACTTTTATTTTCGTTTATTCTTTTTTCGTTTTATTATTATTTAATTGCAGGGTTCCTTCCTGTATTTCTAATCGTTCCCTTCCTTCTTATAAATCACTTGTTTAACCTCTCTCCCTCTCTCTCACTTTCTCGTTATTCCACACTTTATTTACCCTTTCTTTGCCGCTTATCCCTTTCCTTTCTCACTTTATCCATGTCCTCAATTTCTGTCTCTCTCTCTCTCTCTAATTCTGCGAACAATAATATCATAAATTATCTAGTGATGAAAATAATATTTCTAATACGAGTGATAATTCTAATTATATTGACACTATCAATAATAGAAACGTCAAAAATGGTGATGATATCAATAATTGTAATTATAATAAATAAAAACCATAAAAAAGATCGTTTAATTGATAACAATTCAATCAAGAACGAATAAATGATAACAACGAATATCATTATCAATATCATTGCCAATATCATAAACAAACATAATTAGTATATTCCATTATACCAACCCTAATGATGATTACGGTAATGCTCTTGCAACAAAGGTACTGGTCGTGATTAACATCAATAACAATAATTATATTAATCATAGTAATGAGAGTAACAGCAGTAGGCATTTCATACATTAATATTGATAATCAAGGTAACAATAGCAATATTAACGAGCTAAATCAATCCCCATATTCTAACTATAACAATCACAATGATGATAGTAATAACGACAACAATAAAGTCAACAAGATGTGCAATACCATATTACTGTAGCTGAGTTAATATCAATAAAGGAGAATGATAGTGAATATGGAGAAAAATAATTAGGAAAACGCAAATGATGATATATAAATAAACAATACACTGATAAGAAAAAAAACAATGGCGCTGACAATAAAGATAATCATGATAATGATAATGATGATTAAGAAAGCAAAATAATAGTAATCACTAGGAGTTGTAGTAATACTAACAATAATGACATTAGTAGTAAGTATAACAATAATGATATAAAATGCCAATAGCAACAATAATAATATTAACGTTAATAGTCTAATAATATTATTATAAAAAAATAGATAAATAAAAATGATAATCACATCAATAATGATAACATTAATGATGATGATAATGTAATAGTAATAATAACAATGATAATGATGACAACATAATAGGTATAATGAAGATGGTAATGATAATTATAATGATGATAATCATAACGATGATAGTAATAATAATAGTAACATTAATGAAAAAAATCATTAATAATGAAGATAAATATAATAATAACATTAATAATAATGGAACAATAATAATAGTAATAAATAATGATAATGAAACAATAATAACAGTAATAATTATAATAATCTAATTATGATAATCACAATCATAAAACAATAACAGTAATAACAATAACTAATAACAACAAGAACAGCAGTATCAATGATAATAATAAGAATAATGAAATCAATAAAGATGGTAGTAATATTATTGAAACAAACAAACAAACAACATAGAAAGATAATAATGATGATCATAGTATCAATAAATAAGATAGTAGTAATCATAATGATAATGACGATTTATATTATGATATTGGCAACAACAATAATGATAATAATAATAATAATAATAATAATAGTAATAATAAATATAGAAATAACAATAGTAATAATGGCAATAATAATGATAATGATAGTTATAATGATATTAACAATGAAAAAAACATTAGTAATTACCGAAATGTTTCCCTCTATCTCACCTCTTTGCAAATGTCAAAAAGCAAGAATAATCCTAACCAGCGACCCATTAGACCATATTGTGAATTCCTATAAAGTTCAGTTTGATATAAATGTTGTTTGTGAAATTACGTTTGAATTCTGGTGATGAAGAAATTTGTTTGTGAAATTTGTGAGGGGTGACTGGAATTTTTTGCGAAATGAACCAAATGAGGTGGAGTGACGTGCGTTCGAGAGTTGACAGACGTGTCTACATACAATATATAACAGACACACACACGCGCGCACGGCGCACACACACACACACACACACACACACACACACACACACACACACGCCACACACACACACACACACACACACACACACACACACACACACACACACACACACACACACACACACACACACACACACACACACACACACACACACACACACACACATATTTACATATACATTTACATATATATATATATATATATTATATATATATATATATATATATATATATATATATATATATATATATATATAATATATATATATATATATATATATATACATAAACATACATATATACACATGGATGCATGGATGCGAATAGATGGCTTCGCGCGCGAACAATCATGATCACCAAAAGAAAAGCGGTTGAATTATTCTTTCTTGCCATAATTCCTCTTTTTCTCCTCTCGACCACTCATTTTCCCATCCGCCTCCCTCTCTTCTCCCTCTCCCTCTCCTTCTCTCTCTTTTCCTTCTTCTTCCTTCTTCTACCTCTCCCTCCCTTTCTTCTCCCTCTCCCTCCCTTTCTTCTCCCTCTCCCTCCCTTTCTTCTCCCTCTCCCATCCTCTCTTCTCCCTCCCCCTCCCTATCCTCCTTCTCCCTCTTCCTTTCTTCCGGAGCAGACTAACCGCCCCCCTTCTCAGCCCCCCACTAACCTCTCGTCACTGCCGCCACCAGGGGGCCGGATGCACTGCGTTATTGGTCGCTGTCGTCTCACGTAAAATGGAGCTTACCAGAGCTGAGAAGCATGTTCACAATTTTATGATGGACACACAGTTAACAAAGAGGGTAAGTCATTTTGTCTCCGGTGTCGCCATCTTTGTACCGTAGAAGGAGAGAAAGCCTGCCTGAGTATTCCTCCGCCTGCTCTTCGTGTTCCGACGTCGTGGCTGTGACGTTGTTTCGAGACAAGGAAGGAGAAAGACGCACGCAATAAAGCTAGCTGTGGGCAAAAAACCAGTAGAAGGGTTGTGCGGACGAAGCCGAGGTCGCACGCGTCCGAACAACTTCGCAGCCAACGCCCGTATGGACAGTCGATGTTGTCATGATTGGTGTTGATAAATGTGTTATTTTTTCTCTTCTTCCCTTTCTCTTCCTCTCTCTCTCTTCTGTATCCGCGACCAACCACTCCCCAACCCGTCGTCAACCACATCAGGGGAACGGTAGCATGGCGCTGGTGGTTGCAGTGCTCATGACAAAAATTCAGATGCAGCCGGCGGAAAAACGGGTTCATGTGCTCATGATGGAAAAGCAGCTGAACTGGAGGGTAAGGCGCGTGGCCCGGCTCTCGCTACTAACCCGCGTGTGATCGGAACGGCCCCCGTGTGACTAACCCTTGTGGATCAAGTGCAGGACTAACCTACTGACTAAGGCTTCTTAGGTTTGAGATTAGAGCGTTTGGTGTAGTTCTCCAAACGAATAGGAATATGAAGATTCATGTCCGTGCGTCCGTAGGTACGTGAACATGTGTGTTTAAGTATCCTTATGTATGTTTGTGTATAGGCGTATAATATATAAATGATTATATATGTATAATATATATATATATATATATATATATATATATATATATATATATATATATATATATATATATAATATATAAACGTTTACAAACGTATGTATGTAAAATATATTTTATACACACACACACACACACACACACACACACACACACACACACACACACACACACACACACACACACACACACACACACACACACACACACCATATATAATATATATATATATATAATATATAATATAATATATATAATATATATATATATATATATAATATATATACATATATTATATATAGTATACATATATATATATATATATATATATATTATTATATATATATATATATATTATATATTATATATATATGTATATATATTATTTATATATATATATATTATATATATATATATATATATATATATATATATATATATATATATATTATATATATATATATATATATATATATATATAATATATATATAATATATATAATACATTATATATATATATATATATATATATATAAATATATATACTATATATATATATATATATATATAATAATATATGAACCGTATTCATGTTGACAAATGCTTGGGGAAGGTATGAATGAGAACGAATATTTCACAATACAAGATGTATTTAACCGGTTCGATATATATCTTCGTCAGAAATACATGTATTTCTGACGAAGATATAATCGAAACCGGTTAAATACATCCTGTATTGT